CAGCAGCGGGCCCATGGGGCGGCGGGCGCGTGGTGCACCGCGTGTCCCGCGACTGATGGGTGCCGGTGTCTTGGAGCGGGGTCGTCCTGGTCCGCGCTTTACGGTGCCCGTGGGTGATACGGATTGCATGGTGGGGGTTGGGAGATCTGTTGGTCAGAAGAGATGCATAATACACATGAGTTATTTTGATTTAAAGAATTATCAAAGCTAAAATCTGTCTGGCATGTACATTGGCTGGCAGTCCGGCAGTCTGGCAGTGCCTGCCAGGACATCCATTAGCTTGCACAAAGGATCAGTGGCATATTTCCACTAATTCCATGGGCATTTGTTGCTGCACGTACGACATCCACGTTGCATCCACTGCAAATCCTTGCATGCAATTGTGGTTTTTATAATTGTGCAACCCTCGGCTGGCACCCTCGGCTCCATGTATGTTGCATGGAAATTTATGCAACGTTGCGTATTTGCCAGTGCGATTATGTCTCCATTTTCGGGCCCAACATGCTACAAATGTTGTTCCTGTCACGTGTACTCCCTCGTCCACCATTCCCCCCCTGGTGCATCGTCTGTACTGTCTGCGTCATTTAAGCGGATTTATGCAATTATCATTTGTCGTACGACTGAAAATCCCCCCGCCCCTGAAAATGGCAACATTTTTGCCATATTTACGCCTCTGTTTAAATGCCATTTGTTTGACTTTAAATTCTGGACAGCTGGGGAAAATTACTTGTACAGAAAATTATGAATCAAAAGTGGCAACAATCTGTGCAACGTGCAACGTGCCACGTGTGCTACGAGTGGCATTAAGTGGCATTAAGTGGCATATGTATCTATCAATTTTATGCACAAACCAAAGCAAAGATGTCCCCAGAAAGAGGGATCCCCTCGAAGAAAAGGGGAAAGATCTCCCCAATGAAAAGCCAAAGATAATGCAGCCAGATGTAAATCTTTGAGCAAATATTTGCCTTGACTTGCAGGCGCACAAAATGGGGGAAGAATATGCCAGAAAGTTGTATCGGATATTTGTTTAATTTCAATGAGAGGGTTGGGCGGAAAAGGGGAGTGAGTGGTTGAATTTAATCCATTTCGGGAGTGCGTTAAAATTGTCACGTACCACAAAAGTGGCATGGAATTATTCCTGCGGGCTGTAATCGATGCCAAGAAAAAGGGGGAACAACAAACGGCAGGCAGATCAACCACAAAAGAAAAGTGGAGATAATGTTGCCCAAAAAAATACGAGTACGAGTGCCCCGGAAAAAGGCAGCCGATAAACGTGATTATGACAAGCGATTACTTAGTGACAAGTGACACTCAATCGAGTGTGTTAAGGGGGGAAGGAAAGTGCCGCTGCCACTTGAAGGAGAGCCGGTAAGGCAGCACATTGCAGTGACAGAGAGAAGGGTACTAAATGGGAAAGAGGGTGCCGAAAATACTTCAATCTTTCCATCACAAATCTGCAATCAAATGATCGATTCAAGCTGCTCCTTTAGTGGTTCTCTTTTCGCTATTAATTTACATAACTTCCATCAACATATCTGCCTTGTTTCTTTGTTTTCTCTCAGTGTTTTCTTACCTTCTTCGTTGAGCGGCACGGGCGCATACTCGCCACCGCCGCTTACTTCCTGCTGTAGCTGTGGCAGGGGCGAAGACGTTCCAGAGCCCGCTTCCCCTGCTGATCCTCCTCCTGCTGCGGCGCCGGACTGCTGCTGCCCCTGCCCCGGCGAATGCGTTGGCGTCAGCACGCGCTGCAGCGACCCATGTCCGCCGCCGCGTCTTGAGCTGCCACGTGGTCGACCGCGCTTGGTGCCGCGCGGGTGGTGTCGCCGTCGCATCGGCGAAACGCTGCTCATGTCGCTGAGGAAGCCTGCGAATACAACAAAAAATTTATGTTCGTCTCATTATTGATTAATTGCGGTTAGGAGGTTGAAGGAGGTTGGGCCCTAAAAAAAAACACAGCTGGCGAGCATATCGAAGAACAAAAATAAATATACAAAATAGATACGAATTTTGTTACATTTTCCACAATTTTATGGTCATTAAATGGGGACTGTAATTAATTTTTTGTTTTTTGGGTAGCCTGATGCTTGATGAGGATCGATGCATGTACGTTGATATATTTATTGGTGGCTAAGATTAGCTAGGCATATCAGCAGGGTTATAGCCATAGAAATAGCAATAAATATACATGGGGCAGAGAGTATTAAATATGAAATTTAATTTATTATAATATATAGCATCGATACGTTAAGGCATACAAAAATTAATTTAATTTAATTTGCTGATAAAAAAGAACCACGAAAAATCTTCACTTAAATGAAAGTCTTTTGAGTCTTTGCGTCAACTAATTGATTTCTCATTGATCCTTTCATCAGCTATCGTGTTACACATCGATCATTTGTTGCCACCTATAGTTTTTTTGGAGCAGATATCTGAGCGATAAGCAACCCCTTAGGCAGCCAGCACCCACTCACAACGAGCATCCTCTATGCGGACAACTTTATCTATGCCATGACCATATATTCTCCCACTAACGTGTGGCATTTGATGCCCCAGAGACCAGCCAGCCAGCAACTAGTTCAACTTTAGTCGTGGATGGGCGGGAGGGGCGGCAGAGAGACTTTTTGCATATTTTAATTCGCCAATTCTGCGGCTCTAGTACGGGGCTCTGGGTCCTAGGTTGGTACCCTAACTGTAAATCGCATAAATAAAACAGACGACGACGACGACGACAAGAGGCAGCAGCATTCATTGGCAACAAAAGTTGCAATCAGCAGGCAGACGACAACAGAGACACAGAAACAACACACAAGAGACAACTGGTTGTTGGTGGGCAATGGAAGGGGTTGAGGGGGGGATTGTTGTGTTCTGTTCTGGGTCTGGGTCTGAGTTCTTGGCGACATTGCCTGGCGCTTTGCTATTTTGGTATGCAATACACAAGTGCATCCATCCAGTCAGCAGCAGCAGCATCATCATCATCTTCTAGCTGATCCCATATCATGATCGACATTGTCTCGTCAGTGGAGTCGATCATCATCATCATCATCATCGTCATGATCGTACGACAGTCGCCAGAGGAATTGTCTACAAGCCATACCTCAACATTTGTTGGCTAGAAAGAGATGCAGAGGCAGAGGCAGGGACAGGGACAGGTCTTTTAGCTGTTAGGCCACATTTAATGATAGGGTTTACTTTTACTGTTACATCAAACAAAGCAAAACAAAAACGAGAACAGGAACAGGAACCAACAGAATGCAATGCAACAAATTATTGAACTGTAGCAAAGTTCAGGCATTCAGTATTCAGGCGGGCCCATAAGTTTTATCAATAATATTCAATCCAAGGCCCAAAAGAGGTTTTCCTTCTTTTTTTTTTATATATATAAATATTGTTTCCTTTTATTTTTTTTGGAACCTTGTTTTGACATGTATTTCGGTCAAACGTCGCGGCATTGCAGCAAGACATCGAAACAGCAACGGAAAGAAACAAACAAAAAAAACAGCAAAAGTTTCGCTTTTTAGCATAATTCAGCTGTCATCGCGGGAGGGGGCAGGACGGAGCCGAGTTTAGGGACAATGGAAATGTTGAGTGTGATATATTGTTTAAGGGTTTAGGGATAGGTATTGGCACTGTCACACCACCAAAATTAATTTTAAATTTAAATCGATTACTAATAAAAATCTTAGAAAATTTGCGAAACATAACAAAGGTTGTCCAATGATGATCATCCAAAAATCCACACAAAAGAAATGGCTGTAGTCGATTTTCCGGACCCTTTTTTTATTTAAACTAGGATACTTTTTATAGCTTCTGTTCCGCTATCAAAAAGTCGCAAGGACTCTGCCCAAAAAGAACAGAATCTTTCGCCCAAAAAAACCCTTTGCTTTCCACCCCATAAATACTATCAATAATAGTCATTTCCATTTCCTTTTGCCACCGCTCTAGTTGTTGTAGTTGTATTTATGATTGTAATAAATATTTTCGCTTTTGTTTGGATTGTTGCTGCCGCCTGCCACGAGTGTTACAGCAGTTCCATTTTGGGGCCCTCTCCATGGATTACCAATTGGCACGAACAGCAACAGAAATACACAGAAAAAACTGCAGCAAACAAAAAAAAGTTAAACTAAAAAAACAGTAAAGAAAAAAAGAAAAGAAACAGCAGAGAATGGTAGTAAAGAAAAAGAGAAGAGCAAATCTGGCGAACATAATCGGATTTTACAAATCATTCATTCAATTATCTAATTGATTTGACTGATGATCGTTTGTGAACCTTGATCCTAGAGTCTGCAATCTGCCTCTTTGGGATTCTTCGGGGCTCTTTGGTGCTCAATGTGACGCATGTTTGTTACGCCTGATAAATGCAACGACGAAGATATGTATGGCCATTGGCCAGGCCAAGGGACAGGGGACAGGGCCAATCTCATCTTGGACAGCCAGGGGCCTTTGCCATTGCCAACAGTCTCACCTTTGACTGTAATGCGCCTGCCCATGACTAAGTGGCTCTCATTGGGCTGGTCTGTGCTGGGCTGGGCTGGGGCCTCTTCTTGGGTTCTTCCCTGTCTGTGGCTGAGACTGTGACTCTCTGCCGCTTGTCGTTTACCTTTGCAGATTTTCAGGCTTAGATTACATCTCTGGGCTGTCGCTACTGTAAGCCCATAAAAAGTCAAATAAATTGCAATTCTTATCTGTGTGTGAAATTGTTAATTTTTTAAGGGATTTGTTTCGGGGTTTATTGCCAGTCTGCAAATCATTTTGAAGAGAGAGACAGAAAATGCCATACGAATGGTATTGTTTTGTATTGCCGAATCTTGTGTAGAAAATAGTTGGATAAGAGAGGAAAAAATAGTTACAGATTCAGCAAATACTTTGGAAAAATATTTAGCAAAAAAGTTATGTGACTGATGTGACCCTTGATCTTGGGGAATAATCTTGAACACTGATTTCGGACCTATACGTACGGTAGTTTTTATTTTTAGCTCTTTTTTTAAAAAAATGAATGTCTGACTGCCTTGCAATTTCCACCCTCAGACCAGATATAGTTTTACGAAAAATGAGTATGAAATGTGGAACATAAATTTTGGTCTGAAACTTCAATGATCGAAAGGGGTTCACATGTAGAAGTATTCAAATTCACGACGTGACACCGGCTTGGACAGATAGAGCAGACGTATCTGGTGCATGCGCCAGCCTTGGGCCGTGAACTTCTTGCGCTTTGGCGGTCGCTCATCCAGCGGGTCCAGGGTGCGCGGCGGAATGGGGCAGTGTGGTGGCCATGGTGGCATAACCTTCGGCCTGGCCAGGCTGATAATGCGCGCCGTTGCACTGCCCTTGAGGGCCTGCTGTCGGACGGGGAAACGCAACGTGGCCCAGAACTCATCCTCGATGTCGGAGTTGGGGAAGCAGCAGGGCACGTGGGGCGGATCGAAGGGACGACCCTTGTCGGGCTGCGGCTGCTGGCCCCACACAATCATCGGGTTGTAGGCGTTTATCGGATGGACGTGCTGGTGCTTCTCGCGCTGCCTGCGCTTCAGCGGTACGGACAGCTTCTCCATCTTCTCCACCATGTCCAGGTCGTCCTCGTCGGCCACCCTCGGCTTGCCGCATGGCAGATAGTCAGCCTCGCAGGGAATTTCCTGCGGTGGCGCCTCCGGCAGCTCCTTGGGCATGGCTTTGACGGCAGCCCACGCGTAGAACTTCTTCCAGTCCTTCTTCTTCATGGGTCCAGCCTTCTGCCAGACCGTCAATTTTCGCTCCACCTTGGGACGTACCCTCACCCGCGGCTTGGCATTGCGCTCCACCCAGGCCAACCACGAGGGCTGAACCTTGTCCCCCGGCGAGCCGGAATCGCCCTTGCCACCGGGCACCTGCGGCAGCCTAAAGTCCTCTTGACTCATCTCAAAAAGTGTTTTCTAAAAGTTCTTTCACTTAAAATTTCGCCACTTAAAATTTTTTAGAAATTTTTCAAAGAATATTTTTTGTTGTAGTTTCGGCGGAGGGTAAAACTCAATTGATTCTGTACTGGATTTTCGTAAAACTTAAGTTTTTCTTGGGCTAGAAGGGCCTACTTGAGGGCATCCACAACTGTCGAAGCAGCAGGGATTTTCCTGTCAATTTGCTGACATTTTAAACTCGCTAAAAAAAAAATTTAAATTAATTGCAAATTCCCAGTAAAAAGGACACTTTTTGACAGCGCCAAACAATGAAGAAGCGAAGAGAAACCAATGAAGCCATGGGCAGTAGAACAAACCTGAACGTGGGCGATGGACCCGCCGCGCCTGTGGTAACGTTGTCCGCGGAAAACATCACGGAGAAGCCGGCGCCCTCGTGGGTGGAATGGGTGGAGAGGAACTCCAAGCCGCTGGTGCGCAAGCGGCACAAGGAGGAGCGCGAGCCGACCAAGTGGCAGAAGAAGGGGCCCATGAAGAAGAAGGACTGGAAGAAGTTCTTCCGTTGGGCAGAGACGCGAGCCACGCCACAGGAGCGCAAGTTCAAGGAGCAGGAGTTGTTTCAACCAAGCGGCAGGGCCGCAGAGAGTCCGGACGATTACGATCAGGCCGACAAGCTCGAGGAACTGGCAAAGCCACGCATTGTTAACAAGAAGCACCAGTTCCACGATGACGAGCCGACCTATTCCCCTGTCATCGTTTTGGGACAGCCGCCCCATCGGGACAAGGGACGTCCCTTCCAGCCTCCCTACGTGCCCTGCTGCTTCGTCCACGACGAAGTCGAGGCCAGCTTCTGGTCCCAGCTGCGCTTCCCCATTCGCAAGGAAGCCCTTCGGGGCATTGCCACACCGCGCATCATCAATCTGGCCAAGCCGCGCACCCTGCCCATCCACCCACATTGCCCCATTCCACCGCGCACACTCGATCCGCTGGACGTGCCACCACCGAAGCGCAAAAAGTTCACGGCACAGGGCTGGCGCCTCCACCAGATACGCCTGATATATCTGTCCAAACCCACACACAGGGGGCACTACCAGTACTTTTATATTTGAGAAGTAGTACATGTCTGTACCTCCCATTTGGGTCGTGTCATTTCTTTAGTTCGGATTGGATTAAAATTTGAAGTGTGATTGATATTTAAGAAAAGGTTTTTAAGTGGTGGGGTCTACGGAGAGTGCTGCAGCTTTACATAGATTTTAAATTAATTTTCCTATGTTTATAGAGACTACGAGAAGCGCCTTCAATATCCTGAGAATTACCGAGGGTTTTTTGATTTACTTCCAAAGTGTTCAAAGGTTATTCAAACCCTAGAAATACAATATATCCTCCTCCTCTACAGATCTGAGCATTATTTGCTTTCCCTTATCCACAACCAAGACCCTCACCCATAGTTTCTTTTTTGAACAACATATAATATAATTTTCAGGCACTGCAAATTTTATAGAAGGAACCCAATCAATCCGCCACTAAGCCATAGTGCAATCAACCGAAGGAAGCATAGATTTGCGCAGCTCCAGTTGAATGCTCTATGGATTAATGCTGATGCTGACGCTCTAGCTCCTTCAAAGGCTGCTTTTCAATTATAGCCCGATCCTTGAGTTGTCTTCGGCTACCACCGACCACAGAAGCATGGTAGTTCCGCCAGCCTTCGCTCACTTGGCTGGGCCAAGAATTTCAGGCGCTGCAGATGGGCCCGCCACTGGCGGCCATTCATTTTCTTACGCTTGGGCGGTAGATCCAACACTTCCGGCGGCAGTGGACAGTGGGGTTTGGGCGGCATCTTCTTGGGTCTGGAGAGTTCACAGTCCTTTTGCGATGGCATCGTGGTGCAGGCGCTCTTCGACACGGGAAAACGCACGGTGGCCCAGAACTCGGCCTCCACATCCTCGTGCTGGAAGCAGCAGGGCACCTTTATCTTGTCCGCCGGTCGGCCCGGCTCTGGCTCCGGCTTGGGCTGATAGGCGAGTCGTGGGCGGTAGGCAAACACCTCCTGCGGCGGCGCCTGGTACTTGGTCCGTGGCCTGCGCGGCCTGCTCAGCCGACAAAAGAGATCGTCGCTTTTCTTCTGATTGGCACCTCCCGATTCGCACCGTGCCCAGTCCACACCCGAACTGGCATCCTTCGGCACACTAGGAAAGCGCCCGGCAGCTCGGGGCGGTGGCGCGGATACCGTCTCGATGGGCGGCCTCTCTATGGGCACAGCATTCACCTGGCACCACTTGTAGAACTTCACCCAATCCTCGAGATTCATGGGCCCCGGCTTTTGCCAGCGTGTGGGCTCCGGAAGGTTGGGATCAACATAAATGGGCCGCGGCTTGGCATTGCGGGCACACCAATCCTTGGAGCTGCTGCGTCGCTGCGGCGGCCACATGCTGCTGGCGGCTCAAACCACACCCGGCAAGTTCGGCGGCAGGCAAATGCCAAAAGTTTTTTAATAATACAAAATATAAAAATTTTTTTAGTTATTTTTAAAGGTGAAATTTTTTTTTTGGGATTTTTTTTTTACTTCTAATTTTTACATTATGGCACAGGTGGAGGTGTTTGTGCTACATAGTTCATAGAGCATCTGATTTCTTACATATTTTGCGAATTCCTCTCAATCCTTTGTCTGAGCTTTTCCTTTTTTTTTTGTTGGCCTAGACATTTCTTTTCGATTTATCAAACTTTCAACTTTTTGTTGCCAGCTATGGCTATGGCCCCCAAACGGCTCAATCATGCGCCCCCTGATCCGGCTGCACCTTCAACCGATGCGCAATGCGCAATCCTCTGGCCAGTGGCATCCACTGGGCATTGTCCGCAGGCGACACGCATTCGAGGTCATAACCCAATTCCTATCGACGCAGTCAGTCTGTTGTCTGCAACTGTATTCCGCAGCCATCCATTATCGGAGGAGCAGCAGCAAGCAGTCAGTCTGCCGTTCGGAGGAGTCGTCGGAGTCGTCATCGTTGTTGTTGTTGTTGTCTCCAATTGAAATTCGGTGCGCATTGTAATCGATCGCACTTTTTGTAGCTGGGGCCTGGTGATTGTCGTATGCCTCGTACTCGACTCGTACCCGTTGTTGCAGTGGTTGTTGTTGTCGTTTGCTGCTGGTTTCTACCTTTCTAACGTTGTCTCGCGGACTCTTCTTGGCTTGGCTAGCTCTTGGGGTCTGTGGCTGCTTTGTCGCCCATCTTCATTATCATCGGATCGGCAGCAGCAGCGTGTTGCATTTGATGATGTGCTATGTTGCCGACGTTGTCGCCATGGCCATGAGGATCATCATCATCACCATCATCATGATCATGATCATGATCGTGGCAGCATTTGTTGTCGGCATTTTGTACCCTGCCATTGTCATGATTTGTTGTCGCCAATGTCCCCCCCCACCCCATCCCATCTCCTCTGTCTGTCTCTCTGTCTCTGTGTGTGTCTCTATGTTTGAAGAATTTTAAATCCCAAAGCCAATCGCGCACATTTTCCCTTTGGAAAGTTTTTCCCTGGACACTTCCTGTCCCTCCCCGGAACTTGTTTAATCTAAAACCAAGGACAAGGACTGCAACAACAACAAACTACAAACTACAAAAATAATATGGGAAAGAGTCATCAATCTGTGGTGACCGCAAAAAGTACCCATAACATGTGTGAAATCGACACCACAGATGCGGAAACGACGGCAATTTTATGCTACATTTAGTTAATGACACACAAAACCCCTCAGCCCGCGTTCTATGGCAGATGGTCTGTCCTTATACTCTAAGGAGGGTTCTTTTCTGCTGCTAGTGGAGCCACACCCCCCAAAAAGGAATGTCTTAAAAATTGAGGCAACACGAAGGCAATGAAGTATGTTTTTTTCTGTTTTTTTGGGATGATTAGGGGTGTGTAGAGGAGAGAGAAAAAGTAAGGTCTTCCAGTTACCTTACTTTTATTTTAGTTGGTTCTTTTTCTGGTGAAATAATAGATATCTAATAATAGAGATTTTCTATTAAATGCGAGCGGGAGATTGAGAAAGAAATACTGTGAATGGAGTGGAGTATTAAGCTTAATTTTTGAGTTTATTTTTGGTGTCTGTTTAATCAATATTTCGATAAATATTTAAATACTTTAAACAACAAAAATTAGCCTGTTTGCTAAGAGCGCAATATTCATTTAAAAACGATCAAATCTGTAGCTTTTCTTTGTTGTAAAATTCTCATTGCTACTTTGAATAACAGATAATTTCAAACATGTGTTCCCATTCTGGTTTCCAAATGGCCCCAAATGGTACACAACGCGTGTAATCCTTTTGGGAATTCGATTCATTTTAATTTTTGACCAAACTTACTTTACATTGATTTGCCATCAATCACAGTCCATGCAATGATATCAATAACCAATGATCATACTTTAAATACCTAGAAGCCAGCCCCTCTATTAGGAAATGTCTGAACCAATCAAGGAATTTACGCATTCAAATAATGCGAGAGGCAAAACCGTTTCAAAGGCGAATTCTTGGCGCGGATTTGTTTCAGTTTTGCTCATTGTAAATATGATTAAAACCAATTTGAGTCAAAACCACTTTAATTATAAAAGAGTTTGCTGTTTTCTGTGCCCGATACACTGCAGAACCGCAGAGCCCCATGGCACGTACGCGCTATGGGCGCTATGGGGGCCAATAGGGTGTAAATTTATGCGTCGAAAAGTGGTAGCCGGAGTATGGCTAACAGCATTAAAGCCATTAGCAAGCCTTTGGCCCATGCAATCCATCGCTGCTCGATGGTTTCTCGAATGTCTCTGAATACTTCTAACGCACATTTTTTGTTGTTGCTTTGTTTTCGTATTTCGTATTGGCATTCGATTTTCTGAGATAACATTTGTTGTTGTGCGTTTTGTAATTATTTGTGTCTGTGTGAATTTTTGTGGCCAATCAAAGTTTTTGTTCGCAGTTTTGATTTGCTGTTAGGATTGCCAGCAACAGCAGCAGCAGCAGCAGCACTCAGGCGTAATTGTATCTCATGGCTAACGTGTATTCTATGAGATACGAGACACTATTCGTATTCCTATTCGTATTCGTTTGTGTGTTTTTGTGTGTGCGATCTTTTGATTTATATGCGAGATTCCTTGGTGTGCATTTGTTTAACAAGTGTTTCGGCTTAATTATACTCCATGTCTCACAAGCAACGCTGACAAAGTGGACAAGGATCTCATGATCTACGATCTACGATCTGCGATCCACAATCCACGATCGGGGTGTGGCCCCGTACCGCCCAGCCCCGTGAGCTAATGAATATTTAATATACTTTTTGAAATTTACTAAACTTTAATTTAAAAACCTATGAGGAGGGGTTTTCGTTTCGTTTCGTTATGCTTTTATTATGTTGTCCATGTGAAAGTTGCACACACATTTGGCGGCACGTGTCCCCCCAACCCCACCTCCTTGAATGTTGGCATCAATTAAGAAATTGTTTCACTCGGCAGTGAAGTCGGGAGTCTGTTGTGCAACACAGCACAATTAAATGCCAAATGGTACAGGGGAATGGGGTATGGGTTGCCGCACGCACTGCGAAATTTGAATGATGGAAGAAATGTGCCAGCAGCAGCAGCAGCAGCAGCAAAAACTCTGCAACTCCTGCTGCATAAAATTAGCTGCCCCATGGCATCCCCCTGGAATGAGGTCTGTGTTGTTTTGTTATGAACAACATCAAGTGTTGTGTTGTGTTGTGTGTGTGTGTCTTGGAATGCTGTTGAGTGAAACATCAGGCAAATGCTTAAGCTCCCAGCCCAGACTACAAGGAGAATGTCTGTCTGTGTGTGTGTGTGTGTGCTGCAAGGTGGAGCAGCGGAGACGAAGTCTGGCATGTGATTTGAGAAAGAATTGTAACAGAATGTCGTTACAAGAGATGCGAACAGAGAAGCTATTGCCATGCCAAAGCTTGATGAAAATATTGATAAAAGAAAGAAAGCAAAATTCACTTTTTGGCGGAGCTCGAATCAAACTAGGGAGACGCGATATTTCTCAGGACAGTGCCCAAGGCTGATCGCTCATTAAATCTTTCCCTGGAAATGTATATAGTAATATTTCAAATAATATATTGCACAAATTTTCAGCTACATGTTTTTTTTTTTCTAATATACATTTTAGATAAGTTACTTTATTGTATTCCAGAATTTTGG